CTGCTATGCATATGCCTAGGGAAACTCTCGCAGTAGTGTCTTAGTGTGGCAAGACCTTTGATCGTGCAGAGATCCAGGTTGGTTAACAGTAGACTAGTGCTGTCGTGTGAGTTTGACAAGGAAAACAGGTGTTGGAATGGAAGGAAGGGGGGGTCAATATGGTGGAAACTTTCTGTGACGTGGAAGGACTTCTGAGTTAATAACCTTGCATCTTCAATTCAGTTATTATCTGGAAAACTACGTCTGTTCTACATGAATTTATCTTTCTGATTTTTTTTTTTCCCCCTCTAGTGTCCCAATGTAATATCAGCTTGAAGAAGCAGAGGAGTCGGAGTATCTTTAGCACCTTATTCTGCTGCTTTCGTGACTACAATGTCGAACCACCGTCTACCAATAGCACCAGTGCTCTTCCTCCTCTGGTGGAGGAGAATGGAGGACTTCAGAAGGTCAGGCTCTTACCTTATTTTGTTGTCATACAGGTCTTTTGTAACCAAGGTTTAACTCTGTGCTTCTTAAAGTTTGTCTTAATAGGTTTCCCTCATGGGGAACAAGTTATGAGTTACAGGAAAAAATTAACATTTTGGTGGTGAATTGCAAAAATAACCTGGTCGTCTGCAATTTAAAACTAACTCCTTCATGAATGGTATTGGCATTATACATTTTTATAAGCAAGCAACGTTTAGAACCTGAGCAAGACACTAAAAAATGGGGACTTCTCATAATGCTTCAGATACTGAGTTGGCTCTGGCTTTGGTTCTTTCTCAGCTACAGGAAGGTTAAAATGGTTCTACTGGAGCGTAGTGGAACCACTTTGAGTGTCAGTTGAAAGGGTTTCCAGTGACATAAAGCCAGTTCAAAAAGGGGGAGATCCATAGTTGTTTGGCCCTTTTTTCAGGCCAGTTCACCTATATTTCACACACACTGAATCCAGAGGTATCAGCTCTTGGCATTTTTCCAGGTTATTAAGTTTTGTTTACCCAGTAAGTCAAATTAATTGATACAAAACTTGAGCACTTGAAGCATTGCAGGGAAGAGCAGCATGTTATTTTCATTGAATTCTAGTAACTCTTTTTCTTTGTTCCATTTATAAGATCACAACGCAAGTAATCTTATATGTTCTTTTTAAATCTGATAACACTGAGAGGATTGCATTATGTTACCCAAGAATTTCAGTCCAGTATTGCAAACATACGAATACAGTCTTTTCCATGCCATGTGGTTTTTTGGCACTCTCAAAACTAGTGCTATATACTCTTAATTGAAACACCATTCCCATCCCCTTTTTCCAGGACTTTAAAGGATTGCAAGTATAGGTGTATCCATGATGGGGAATAATAGCAGAAATTGAGACATCTCTATCTTACCAAACAACCTTCTGCTCTTCACACTGATTTTTCATATTTCATGCAGATGATTTCTTACTGACCATGTTGAGTCCATTTCATTTTGGTTTGAAGTTTGCTGGTTATGTTTCAATTCTGAAAATCTCAGGAAAAATAACAGAACAACTGTTTGGTGGGAGAGAGGAAAGGAAAGTAAATTCAGGTGACTGCGGCAAAGAACGTGAAGGGCCTGGGATGGGTAAAGACTATACTGCAGCAGTTCACGCTGAAACTGCTCACGCAGAGGTGAAGTGCACTGAAAATTCCTCTGCCGGGAGAAGGAATTGTATGTGTATTTTTAAATGTCTTTTTCTAGCCAAGGTACATCTTGGTTGAAATGAGGGAATTCTAGCCTGGATGTGCTGAAAAGGAAAGCTGTGTAGTGTGTAGCATGTATGAGCACGTTCACTTGAGAAACAAAAGGAATGGGAAACTAGTAAAATTTCCCCCTCCACTATGCTTGGGAATGGAAAGAAGGCAGAAGTGAGGCCAGTAGCAGAATTACAGCTGAGAGAAAGTGGGAGTTCATCAGAAATAAAAACACAAAGAAAAGAAGAGTTTGGTTTTTCTATAGAAAACATGATTTAAAATGGCCTGGAGTCAGCAGTTTTCAAATTTAATTTTACAAAACGCTTAATTACTTTCTAAACATATCTTATGCCTTAAGCAAGTGATAGCACGGGTGTTCACACAGGTTTCCATCCTCACTTTGTGCTGCCTTAGTGAGCCGTTTTGAAGTTGTACAGGAACCCAAGACACAGATCATAGAATTCCAGTTTGCAGCCTAATAGAGTAAAAAAGTTCAAGGAATATGTTAAAAAGAACTATTAGAATGCGTTTTTTTCAAATAGAATGAAAGGCACTCAGATGTGGAAGATCTTCATAGGAGAAATCAAGTATAGCTAAGCTTTTGGGTAGTTTTTTAGTGAGTGCAAGTAAGTCTGTGACATCTCTGTTCTAAATGCAGTGTTGAAGATTAGTGAGCTTTGTATGTTTTTTTTATATGCTGTTTTTATTTTAAATGCTAACTCAGTTGGTGTAAGTAGCAAATTCTTTTAAAGACAGAAAAACAGCCTTGAAGACTTGTATGTATCTGAATAGTGTTACGCTGCCAGGCTTTTTACCAGAGTGCTGTGTTTCCGAGCTGTGCAGCCCGGCTGGATTTGACCGAGTTACACTGAGCATCTTGTCTAGATTTATAGGTGATAAGTAAGTTGGGGGAAAGTACATGCAACACTGGGCCTCAGTTTCTCGACTGGTGAAATTAAATGTCCAGGACTAACTAAATTACCTGGTTTAGGAAAGAAGAGCAAGCCTCACAACACACTGCTTGTGCTTCTCTGCTATTTAATTAAAGCTCTTGTTGCATTCATCTGCCTGCCGGGTTGAGAATAGTTTAAATTTGGTTGAGCTGCTCTTCAAGTGGTCACTAACTTGTGTCTGCTGTCGCTTGTGTATTAATTATTTGTCACATCTCCAGTGACTTCCGACCATGGCCCAGTCAGTTCACATGTTGTAACCCTTTCATGGAGAGGGTGGGGAGGCACTGGAACAGGTTGCCCAAAGATGTTGTGGATGCCCCATCCCTGGAAGTGTTCAAGGCCAGGCTGGATGAGGCTTGGAGCAACCTGGTCTAGTGGAAGGTGTCCCTGCCCATGGCAGGGGGGTTGGAACTAGATGATCTTTAAGGTCCCTTCCAACCCAAACCATTCTATGATTCTGTGATTCTGTGAAATGAAAAAAAGAAAAATGCATACTCACACTACTATTAGAAACCAGTATAAAATGGCTTGGCTGTACTTTCCTTCCGTCTTTACTGCTCAGTAGAGTTGTTAATGTGAAAACTGCTGATAAAGACATCAGAGGGAAGGGAACAGAGAAAGCTTCTGCTGGTTTCACAGGAATTTGATGCTTGTTCTGTGTTGCTTGTGGCGCATTCTTGAAGTTGATGTGACCAGCTAACTTCCTTCTAATTAGGAGTCTTGATTCTTTAATTGCAACCTGTTGTAAAGGAGGGAAATCAAGGAAGAGTATTTTATAAAGTAATTGAAAACACAGGTCTGAAATTTTGTTCAGAGTATTTGCATTGTGCTATTTAATTCTTTGTTGTTGTTGTTACTATTTTACTGTATTAGCAAAAAATTAAATCAGTGTTTCATTCGGTATTTTACCAAATGATGTGACTTGATTATGTTTGGCAAGTCAGGTGTTATGGCACTTTGTCATAGGATTGGAAGAAACACCAAACTGAGCATGGTTTTGAATAAACGGGGCTTTTCAGCACTGACTTCTATTCCGTTAGGGGGAAAAAAGCCCCAAAACCTCTTCTTTAAAGTACTGAGTTCACTTTTCAATCTTCTACTCACAGAGCAGCTGCTTGTCCAAGTGTGACTCTAATACTGGGAATGAATGGTCCATTCTGTCTCCAGAGTTTCAATACAACATTTTTCAAAAATAACTTGTATTTACTGAAACTACTGTATATTTGTTTTTCTTAAACTGAATGCAACAGCTTTTTAGCGCAGCACAGAGACGTATTCTGAGATGTAATATCTATGACAGTGGGTATATCAGCCCGTCTGCAGCTTGGATGCTGAGCCAGATGTGTCATTGGGAGCACACAATGTTCAGCCTCGTGAAATCCTCACTAATTTTTCCTGCCTCCTCAGCAGCCGGCAGCTCACCAAGTCCTTCCAGCCGGTTTGGTTTTTTTTTTTTAGGGGCCAGATTGTTGTGAGAGGGGAGCATTTGGTGGCTTTTTTTCCCCTTCTGTATAAATTCAAGTCTCCATTTCTCTTCTTCGGTTAGGCACTTGATTCAATTTGTGTATTTTCTGCGTGTGCTTCTGGGTGTAAGGTGTTTTTTTTTCTGGTGCCTGAGTTTTGAAGTGTCTGCAGACCCAGATTTCATCTGCAGGCTTCAAGGAGGGACCTTACATAGAGAAAGGTGAGAAAAGCCAGATGCAGACTGGTGCTGTCTTCCTTGGCCTTCAGTCGTAGTGGGTGAGGAAGCTCTTGAGAGTCTATCAGCGCTTGGCCATGTCGCCTGTAACCCGCTTTCACTGGAGTCGTCTTTGCTTGTTTCACCGTTAGATCCCAATGAGGCAGATGGCTCATCTTCAGCAAAGTGAAGCATGAGTGAGGAAAGGGTTTTTTATACTGCTTGGGTTGGAGGAGAAGGTCCACATTCAACAGGGAAGAAGACAGAATTAGAAGGTTTATTCTGGGGGCAGCAGCTGCCCCTTTCATTCTGGGGGCTACAGCCTTCATTCCCTGTAGCA